CTGATAACACTAATCACTTGTTGATAAGCTGTCATCTCAAAAATATGAACAAGAAAAGCACAACATTTTACACTGTATTTTATATATTACTAGCCGATAACCCAGCATTGCCCGGGTATTTATTTATAGGAGGAAAATATCCGAAACAAACATAATTTCTAATGTTGGATTTTCCCCCTTACCAGAGGTAGCCCCCTTGTGGAATACTGTGAATCCATTACCATGGCAACTCCACTGCGCTGTACAGTAGAAGCCAGTAGAGGACGTCAGGCTTTATCTTAACAGAACACACACACCAAGTGGTGTTAAGGGTGTCTTACCTCCACAGTATTTTTCTCCAGAAAGTAAGGCATCTGTGTACCAAGTTTGGTTGAGGCGTTCCAGAGTTATGCTGGAACGTACACACAGCCATTTTTATATATATGTAGAAGATGTAAACACATTATCTATCTATCCTGTTATTGAGAAAATCTGTTGAGATTCTCCTGTCTGCCCTCTAAGGATCAGAAGCAGCAGCTTTGGGGCTTCACCCAGGCCAATGTGTCCTGAAAGTAAATGGAAATAACGTGATGAGTGAAAATTACACTGAAGTTCTGGATCACTTTTCATCGTATAGGAATAGGCAGCAAGAATTTCTGGTGAGTAAGTAGGTGTGTGAAGAAAGGGATGGGTTTTTTAATAGTGTGTTTTCTTACAGTGATTTGGGAAGGGAGAAGAGAAAAAATACTTTGTGATGAAACTAATCTGCTAAATAAATGTTTTAATATCCTTTCTTCAGCTGTTCAGAAGTAAAAATACATATATTTCTTTCAGACACAAATATTCTGATAGATACAACAGATAATTTCCCTTTTAGTTTGCTGGGATAAACCCTGCTAACAAAGCCCTAGATTGGCAATGTACAGAGACAGATACAATACATTCAGAGGTTTGCTATTCTCTTCTTCCAGATGGCGCCATGAAGAATATTGGTTGTTTTGTGGGAAGGTGAAGCAAGAGAACAAGAGAAATTGAATACAAATGCAGGAGACTTAATTTAGTTTCTGCAGGCATCATATAAATCCACCTGTGTATCTTTTTTATATCATGTATCCATTTAACAATTTAATTTGTAGAACATATAGGGAATACATGTACTGTAGCTCAGGGCTAAACTCTTGGATTCACTGTGTCCTTTGAGCTTGGCTGTTTTTCTGCAGATGCTTCGTTTGAAATAGCATCATCAATGCACCAGGAAGTGGAATTTGCTGGTTGTTTATATTTTGGAAAGACTGTCAACATTGTAGACTAATCCAAGTCCAAAGGTGCAAGGGAGTTTCTGAAAGCTAAGCATTCAGGTAATTCAGTCATCAGCAGACATTTAAGGGTAAATCCCATGTCTATAACTTTTTTTTAGAAAAGGTAAAATCAAAAGAAGAAAACAGCCCAGGGTAGTGAATACTCAGATAAGCAGGAAATAGTGAGAAAGAAAAGAAACAGCATACTAATCAAAGAACCACCATAGGAGAAATCCTTACCCTCACCAAGATTGCAATAACACAGGTAATTCTCAGCAAATGGTTATAATGGTGCATGGACATCATGGCCATAAGTGCTGATGGTGGTAAATAGAATTATACATAAAACTGACCCACTTTTACAATCCTTTTTATGGCAGTTATTAAGTGATTGTTAAGCACAGTTGATAGCAAACCAATGATTTGCTATGACCCAGTTTTGCCAAAAAACAGAAGTAAATGGCAAAAATATGGGATGCTACAAATGGCTGAAAATGCAGGCTGGTTGCTGAACATGCGGTCATTGACCTTGTATCTGGAGAGCAGCCATTGGAACTTTGGAACTAGGTCATAAGGTTTGTTGTAACTTTAAATGGTTGCTAAGTGGCCAGCCATAAGTTGAGAAGTACCTATAAACAACTAGGAAACTCCATTCTCCTGTGTACTATTGCCTACTCTTCCAATGAAACCTCTGCAAGAAAACAACCAAGCTCCAAGAAGACAAAATCAAGTCAGTTAGTATACAATGATGACAGTAAGCAATGTTAAATCTTCTTTAAAGCCAGTGCTTGGTGAATTATTCAGTCTGACTCTCTGTTATTCCTGCTTTCCTGAAAGGGTTTCTACCAATGGGTTTACAGAACGCATGAAGATGCTGAAGAGGAGAGAGCTCTTCAGGCAGCTTCAAACTCATACCTGAATGGAAGTCATTCAGAGATGCTTAAAGGAAACCTCTCAATTGAAGAAAATTCAGATCTTGATCCCCTTAATGACAGCCAGCAGGAAGAAGGTATGGGGAAAACCTATTCTATACTAATAGAGAAAATGATCCAGGTAGCTTTTTTTTTTCCAAAAGGGAGTAGTTCTTTTTGAATGATGAGTTGTGTCCTTTACATTCAGATATTGTGTGCTTTACATTCAGATGGTGTAGATATTGCCACCTCCTCCTAAAAAAAGAAAAGAGAAATAGAGAACTTCTAAACTCCAGAGAAATTAAGCTTTTCTGACCAAAGTAGGTCTCAATGTAAAGTAGTTTCATATGTCTGAATTATACCTCAGGGAATGGTGCTATGACAAGAAAAAAAAACTACTGATGCAAGGAGAAAAACACAATTATATATAACTGAACTGTTCCTGAAACCTGTGGGTTATTTGGTAATCAAGTGCTGAAATTGTCTGCAAGGAACTTTTTTTTTAAGCTTTCCAGTCACTTCAGGACCTGTTCTGGAAGCAATGGGGAAATATTTAGCTTTTGCTGGTGAAACAATCTCTTGCTTCTGTACTAATGTGAGGCAGTAGCAAGAAATCAGGCAGATCAGTTGCCCACTAAAGAAAAATCACTAATCTACTGGAAGTGATGGTGCAGGATAATTGATTTGGTAGCTGCAATGCCAAGCCACAAACCAGCCTAATTACATAGTGTCTTGGCATGTCCACATCTGTCATAGTGAGCAATGTGGTTGTGGTATTTTTAAAAACAGAATTATCGTATTTAGTGTGCCACGTAAGATGCCAGCTCAGGCCCGTCTCTTTTAGCTGGTTACCTAAATTGGAAGTGATATACTTGCAGCTGATCTGTGGGAGTCTTAACAAGAATGTTGTCAAGAAAAGGGCTATAACTATGAGCCAGATAAAAAGGGAAAGTTTATTCAAGACATCTGATCCCTGTTTGATATTTTGTCTACGTGGCTTCCCTCTGAAAGGAATTGCACAGCTTCACTGAGAGGAAACTTTTCTTATTTACTATAAAATCAAATGTTTACCATAAATTTGATCAATCCAATATCACCCTTCATAGTTGGGAAGCAATATTTTAATTTGGGACAGAAGCAGAGAAAAAATAAAACTTTTAAATTATATATGATAAAACCGCTGTGATTGGATTGGACAAACCTAATAGCACATTTGGGAAAGCTGGGCTCGGATTGTTGCTGAGCTCCATAGTTCTGTGAAAAGTAAATTGCCACTTTTAGATGTTCAAAATGTTTATCACTTTGTGCTTCCCAAGCTTCATGTGAGTCTTAGTGGTATATAAAGGGAGTCAAAGTCAACAAGTAACATTGATATCTGATGGTAGTGCCATTAAGATTTGTTCATATGTGTATATTATAAAACTCATAAATGAAGAAAGTAAATGAAGTATAACTATTAATATCCAATAAATAAATAAACTGCACCATTTATTCAATGTACATGCAATTTCTACAAATATGGACAAATTGTGTCAACAGGCTATACAGACAGTCAACTTATCCCTGTATAGTATTGTAATAATTAAACTTTGATTTTCAGACTTGCCCCTTCAGACTTTTGACTCTCCTCTAATTATAAGAGAAGACGCTCATCTTATAAGTCTAACAGTGGACAATGTCCATCTAGAACATGCTGTGGTTTACGAATATGTCAGCACTGCTGGAATCAAATGTTTTGTCCTGGAGAAGATCATTGAACCGAAGGGGTCCTTCATCCTCACAGCAAAGGTTTACATCACTGGGCATTATTTTCTATTTTCTCAATTCAGATTTCAGGTTTCTCCTTTTCCTGTCTGGATATTAAGGATTAATAAAGTTTTAAGTCAGGAGTAATACGTTTTAATAAAGGTGGATTAAAATGCAGGTTTCACTAATAGATATTTTTGTTGATGGCAGATATTTTGGTTGTAGCTTTTAAGATTTCTCTCTCTGGAATAAGAGCTTCTCAGAGTTAGATAATAACCATGTAGAAGGTATATTAACTTGGTAAAAATAAATTCCAGCTATTTTATTTATATAGCTTTCTGCAACTGAAAACTGTGGGGCCTGAAAATGCAGAAGTCTCAATAGCTGAGATTTGCATGTTTTTACTATAACAGCTGACTACACAGTGATCATTATTAGGAGGTTTTAATAAACAGTTGAAAATGCATTAGCAATGTAGCATGAGAAAGACATTAATCTTCATTTTAAAAAAATTATAAGAGACATTACAGATTAATTGATAAAAATATTTCTGAAGTATCAAAAGTGAAGGGGAAAGCACAATAATAAAGTAGAAAGGCGATCATAAAAAATACATTAAATTGAAATTTGTATTTATAGGTTGAAATAATAGGTCTAAAACTAGTAGGCTTAGATAACGTTTTAGCTGTCCAAACAGAAAAATTAAAATTTCAACAACAGTGCTTTTCCTAAATAAGAATGGGTTTGTTTGATGAAAATATGCAATCAAGGAAATTGGAATTAGGGGATGACTAATAGCTGCATTAACTAAGATCAATGCATTAAGGGCAGTGGGTTGAAGAAAACAGCCTTGGAGAAGCAATCCAATCAGTTGCATTCAATGAACAGCCAAAGCCCAATTTTTCACCCTACCATTTGACATTTCACTCTTGATTGAAGTAAGCAGAGGAGATAAAGATGGTGTGTATAGTTATAATATATTCCTGCAAGTCTTGTATCCAACAATGCTTCCAGTTGATCTTGGAGGCTAGACTCACACATTGCAACGATATCTAGTAATTACTGTATGAAAGGAGGAATCACGGCGGCTAGACCAAAGTTTGAGAAAAAATAATGGTTCTCTTGCTGAGCTTTGGAAGCCTTTGATTAAGACCTATTCCCTGAACTTCTAGAAAAGGTTATAGAGTTGATACAGTAAACTAGAATTTGTGGTATGTGGAATGTATGCCGTTAATTGTCATGTTGTGGAGGATTTTTTTAAGCTAACCATCAGTCTGTTGACTAATCAGGTCAACATGCTTCAAGTTCGTCACCTGGCCCACTAAATTCTTAGACTGTGGAAAATAGACTACCCACAATTACAAAAATTTAGTCAACTAGGTGACGATTCTATGTAATTCCACTCTTTGGAAAATAAATCCCATGAATTTTTGTTCTAAATAAGCTTCTAGTGGATTGGTAGTTACATTGGATGTACAGTATTTCATGCCGACTCTCAAATTAAAACAGAAGAGTACCAAAAATACTTGGTAAATACTTGGAAGTGTGCCCAAAGTGGTAGTAAAAAAATTGGCAACCCACCTCTGCTTAGCAACCTGTGTCACAATAACCCAACTGAGAAAATCTATATATTTTTCCTGCTTTAGATTTTGGAGGCTTTTGCAACAGACGACAGCAACTTTGTGAAGAATTGCAGAAGGCTCATGTCTCTCAGCAATGCAATGGTCACCATGCCACAATATGAGTTCCGGCACATTTGTGACACAAAGCTAGAAAGCATCAGCAGAAGAATTGACAGTTATCAAGAGGTAGGATAATAATGCACAATCTTATGTGTCAAACAGCACAGTGATGACTTCAACTAGTATGCTTTCAGGACCTTAACAACAAGGTTTATGAGGGTAGGTGTGTACATATTCAATTACATATTTTCAATGTTCAATGGCTTTACTGATTTTGTTGAGCAGACAAATTCATAGTAGCATCTCATTATAGAACACCCACATTCATACGGTGAACAGCCTTTGCATATACATATTAAATTGCAAAATCGAATTTCCTATTAATTAGATATGTTTAGTCCCTGACTGCTTTCTCCATCCAGTGGGTGATTATTGACATTTAGCTATGTTTTTAAAACATTGCAGTTACACATCTACTTTTTCTTTCTTTTAAGTGATCTTCTCAATAACATTGATTTGCAGATCAATATTCTGTCACAGCTGTTTTTCTTCATATTCATGTTCTCCTCCAGGAATTTTTGAGTATTTTGATTGTTACTTATGCAACATGGATTTATGTAGTTCTTGTGAACATATTTCCCCCCTTTTGGATTTTTCTAATTATTGAAAACTGCCCACAGAACTTAATTACTCTGGTGGGTGAAGTAATTATAGAAGAAACAAAGATCTCAGGTACATGTTATTTTATGAGGTAATGTGCTCATAATAGTGGTCTAAACCTCTTTTTCCTTGCTCTAGTTTTCAGATGAATTGAAAATGAAAGTGAGCCCATCCTTCAAACGAGCCACAACAGATCTTCACCCCTTGTGCAGCATGGATTTCTGCCCTACCAACTGCCACATTAACCTCATGGAAGTGTCATACCCCAAAAACACTACCTCAACGGCAAGGTCATTCAGCATTCGCATTGGACGGAAGCCTTCTATTATTGGCCTTGACCCAGAACAAGGTGTTTAATAACAATAAGAGTCGTAGTATCTTATCTTATCCTGGAGTGAAATGATTGACTGGAATTAAGATTGCATTAAAAGATAGTTCTGCTAAAATGTCAGACAGGCTTTGAAGTTTACATCGGAATATTTGACTGTCATAGGAAGTCCATAGACAGTCTATGGAGGTGGGGTGGGCTGCTGGGGTTTGGGAGAACCTCTAGCTAATATTCTGTTCAGTTTGGAGAATCCCCAAATCCCACGTGGCCCGTTTTGGATGCAGGTAAATGCAGGGGGTGTGCGGAAGCTTGAGGAGGGCGAAAAATGGGCCTACCGGACGTTTAGGAATGCTGGAACTCCTTCGGCACCTGGGGAGGCCGTTTTCACCCTCACCGAAGCTTGAGGAAAGCCTCCAGAACCTGGGGAAGGGAAAAATGCCCCTCTCCGGGGTGGGTTCTGTCTTTTTCTACTGCCGGTTTGCTTAGGGATGCGCTTCGCATGCACAGTAGGTAAAAAATTTTTTTCTGTGTATGCGCAGAAGCAGAAGACAAGCTGATAGAAATGGTTCGAGGCGGGGNTGAGTCCTTGGGAGAAGGGCGGCATATAAATCTAATAAACCAAACCAAACCAAACCAAATTCCTTATGTGTCCAATCACACATGGCCAATAAAGAATTCTATTCTATTCTGTTCTGTTCTATTCATAATAATAATAAACGGCAGCTGAGAGTAAAAATACCTCAAATAATCACCCCGATTCACTGATTCCTATACCCTTCTGCCTGGGGGACATAGCCAGATCTTAAGGTCCTTGTAGAAGAATAGAAGGGTTGTGGTCTATCTGCCCTCAGATGGTCTGATGTTCCAGAGGGACAGGGATTGCAAAGGACCAGGCAGGCTTCCTGTAACCATTAAGTTGGCATTCTTTGATTGATGGAACCTGAAGCATGGCCCTCCTACTAGACCTAATAGAGCAGGTAAAACCCATAGGTGTTCCTTGAAGTATCCTGCCTTCATGCCAAGGAAGGGTAAGAAACAGCACTGACGTGCACCTGGAACTCTATTGGCAGCTAGGTCAGCCAGCGGTCTGCTGCTTCTTTCCATTTCAAAAGTGAGGCTCCTTGCCTGTTATTGCTTGAAGCATTTTCAGAGGTGGAGCAGCCTTTCAAAAGTGAAGCCATGTCACTAAAACATCGCACGCAGTGTAGTTTCCATTGTGAGTAGAATGCCAACCATCTTCACACCGCTTTTCATCCTGGTGAGGGGGAAAAAAGGGGAGGGAGAATTATCTTTATTTAAGATAGTGACATGTTATATAGGCCTTGAAATCTAAATTATATGTACCACTTTCATTGGGGATTATAATTACAGTGTATAATGTCATTTAACTGTTTAATGAACTCTGGATAATGCAAGGGAATACAAATATTTGACCTTCCTGACAATGACTGATGGATTGAAGCTGTGTAGCATGGTATCATTAGAATGTCAAATAACATCATTACTCATGATTATCAAGAATTATTCAGGTGAAATGGCAAATCTAATGGAAAGCTATTATTTGTGTGTGTGGGCTGCCATTTGACTTTCGCTGTCAATGCCGGTCCCTTGATGATGCAGATTGTGTGGCTTACATATTTATTGGACTGCAAAGAACAATTACCACTGCATGCTAAAGAAATGACAGCCATAAAACAAAAAGGGGTTTCGGCGGGTCATCGTCCTGCCAGGAAAAATCTTTAATTTTCTCCAAGGGTCTGAACAATTAAAACAATTAAAGCAATGGTATTGTGTGGTATCTGCTATCATTAGAAGGAAAGATGTCATGTCTAGTTTGTTCAGTGCCTCTTCACAAACCTTGCAGCTAAATTCAAAGGATTGGGCTTCTATGCGCTTGACAAAGAGTTGAGATTTGGGGACATTTGCCATAGATTCTGTGTGTGTTAGTGGTGCCGTGTTCCTCTTTGCAAGGACAAAGGGTCTTGTAAATTTTGTAAAAACCGGTGAAGTGGGTGTTGCCTTTCACAGCTTGCTTTAGTGTCTGTATTTAAGCTCTTTTTGAGCCCCGAGGGATGCTTTGATTCCCTTAAATGTGATGTTTCACACTATGGAGGTCACAGATGTCTTTTAAGGGCAAGATTTTCAGTTTTGTTACAGACTCACCTGGAAAAGCTGAAGGAAGCTTTTGCATATGTGTAATACTTCTTTCTGGCTATTGCAAGGGTTGGCTGAGCAGGTGAATCAAAATAATACACTGCTTCATTTCACCGTTAGAAGAAAGAAGAACACACAGCTCAAGGTCACTGAAATCTTCCCCATATAATGTGAGATCTGCTTTTGTTCTAGCTGTCGCAATATCCCGCATAGATATACAGAAAATTAATGTTCATGACCTGCTTTCATTACAATCTATAAGGAGCTTGCTTGTTGCCTCATCATATTGGCTTTCTTACTTATATAGCCTTCTAGAGAATAGTATCCATGTAGTAGGTTATGATGTTGGGATGTGAGCCCTGAAAAGTTCTGTATACTTTAATAAACATGAATAAGTATTTATCTCTAGATCTAGAGCAGGAAGTTCCTTTGTAGAGCTTGAAGCCCTAGACCGGAGGTGGGGAACAATGATACCTTTATGACTTGTGGACTTCGACTCCCTGTTCACGTATAATTCTAGACCACTTCTGAAAATCCTAAAAAAATCCACACTGTTACACTACTCTAGAAAGCTTCAAAGGAAAAATTAAGAAAGTCTAGTTGCCACCAGAAAAAAACACTTTGGGACAACCATGACCTGGATGACTGAGAATCTCTATAGACTTTTAGCTATACATTTTGGGATAAATACCCTTTGAATGGTGTAGGAATAGGAATGGATTTCCAGAGAAAAAATTGTGGACTACAAGAACCAGGAGCACTACTCCAGTGACCCTAAGGCAGAAGTGGGTTGCTACTGGATTGGGCAAACTGGTAGTAGGGGTGGCAGGAAGCACCGCCTACCTGCCTGGACACTTCTGTACATGCACAAAAGCTTCTATGCATGCATAGAAGTTTCACACGCACACAAGCAAACCAGTAGTAAAAAAAATTAGAAACCCACCACTGCTCTGAGGACACAAATAAACCTCTAAGTGCTTTAATGACCCTCTAAAAGGATCCAGATAACCAGCTGTCTGTAAGCAATATAAACCCTTCCATTCCCCACGATCCTGTTAGAGCTGAAGAAGCTTCTTGGATGAGAAGCAAAACATCTTCAAAAGAAAAACCAAGAAAGTCAAGTTGCCTCCAGAAAAAGCACCTCTGGGACTAGTCTGGAAAGCCTTATTTTTTTCTTCTCCTCCTCCTAGCATCTCAATAATAATCAGTCCTTTAAAAATTAAATTTATTACCAAAATATGTCGAGAAGTCTCCTTTCTACTTCTACAGTTTGGTCTATATATCATAAGTTTTAAAGATCAAATATAGTCGAACCTTACAGTGGATGTTGTTTGTTAGGATAATTGTGAATTTGTGGAAAATCAGCAGCATTAATATAAATGCCCTTCTCTAGTAATTTGATTTTGCTGATTCCATTCTCAGGTTGCTTCAGTGCTTTTTCTGAGTAGCTTGTGCATATGTTATCTTGCTTGATGAGATGGAGAAAATCGAGGTAGATTGAACCAGCCGAAAATGAATTTTAATGAATGATGATTGCACTTATTCATAACATATCTTTGGAATAGAAATTGGGGTTTTTTGAGACATCACTGTTGCAAGAGCAGCTCAGAAGTCTTGAGGGGATTCAAGGGTTTATTTTTGGTTCAGACTGGGTGGTAGTGCAGAAATGCATGCACACTGTTCAGATTTATAGCTTTATCTTTTTTTGATCAATAAGATAACCTAATTATTCCACAGGGTGGCATGTTGAGACATTGTTCCATGGACACAGTTGAAATGGAATATGATTTCTCGAAACACTCTATAGACCAAATCCAGCTGCATTTTCTCTTTCCCACCATCTTCAATTCTAACAAATCCACTATGTCTAATGGAACAAAAATAGTAAGAAGCATGTGTGAAATCTCTCTCTCAGTAAATGCGCTGGACATGGAATTTGTTCTCCATAATTCTGCAGCTAGAATGTCTATGGGATGAGAAAAAAAACCCCAATCTATCTGACAGATTGGCCAATTTATTGACTATGTCTTGGTCATTCTCCTGTCAGAATGAGCCAATAGTACAGGCTGGGTTTNATGAGATTTCATTGTTGTCACAGATTCATTAGAATTTTTCCCTGAATTGGCAATCTCCAGATGTGACAACTTTATATCTCCTAACATCCCTAACTAGCAACTAGCTTGGAATTCTGAAAGTTGCATTCTTCGTTCAACCGGTAGGTACCAGGTTGGGAAATATTATACTGGACAATGAAATCTCTCCCACAATATTACTTGTATTCTTTAATTGTTTAGAATTATTTTGACTATAATCATGTCTGGCTTTGATGCCGACTGAACACCACCTATTAGAGTTTCTGGAAAAGACCACAGTTGCACTGAAACATGACTGAGATTTTGAATCTCAAAAAGCAGCTCCTCTAGCATCTTTAATGCTTTTCTGCGGTTGCATTAAATGACCTTCCTCCTTTTCTTCTGTCCCTCCATTTGTGAGTCTGCAGAGATTCTCAGTCATTCCATGTCATGGATGTCCCAAAGGTGCATTTTCAGGAGACAACTTGTTTTTTCTTTGAAGACATTTTGCTTCTTATCCAAGAAGCTTCTTCAGCTCTGACAGGATGGTGGGGAATGGAAGGATTTATACTCCTTGCAGACAGCTGGTCATTTGCATCTTTTTAGAGGGTCATTGAAGCCATTTGTGCTCCTGGTTCCTGTAGTCTGCAATTTTGTTTTTGTTTTTTCCCCTCTGGAAATCCATTCCTCCTTCCACACTATTCCAAGGGTGTTCATCCCAAATTGTATAGCTAACGTCTGTAGAGATTCTACGTTATCCAGCTCAGTGTTGTCCCAAAGATGCTTTTTCAGGAA